CCGGAACAGCCCGTTCTGAAACCGGAACGGGCCTTTCTGGTTGCACTTTTGGTGTGTTAATTTTGCACCTGGAACGGGTCGTTCCTGATGCAAAATTAACACACCAAAAGTGCAACCAGGACGGCCCGTTCCGGTTTCAGAACGGACCGTTCTGGGACCAGGTGTTTTCAAAAAAATTGTCATTCACGTGGCATCCACGTATGCATCTACGTGGCATCCACGTGCCCAAAAGTTAACTCCGTTTAAATAATTTGGACGGAAGTCGCAAATTGAAATCAATTAATTAATTTGGGACTAAATTGAAATCAATTAATTAGTTTGGGACCAAATTGAGACCAAAAATAAAAGTGGGACTACATTGAAACAAAAAAAGATTATAAGGGACCAAAATAGGTATTTAACTATAATTTTTCTTTATTTTATTTTATTATGAAACTACTGTAACTACTTATAAAAATAATTATTTTTTCAATACAGCGTCGTGCCTTTTTCATGCTAATGTTAAATAAAATGGGTACTTTAGTATAAAAGTTTGTTTCAAGTTGATATATATATATATATATATATATACATGTAAACATATGCAAAATAAATGAAATAAAATGTAAGTTAAACATTATATGGGGATACGACCTAGAGATAAGTATACGATCAATATTAAATTCCCTGCTATTTTTAGGTGGGTGATGTCTCTGATAGTCCAGAGAGACAAGTGGTCCATCGGTGGTGCCTGAATAAAGATGAATAATGACCGTAGATATAATATAAAAATAATTAACGGTTCAGATTATCATTTAATCAGTAACATTTTACAATTGCAGAGTAGTCCTTTTAGTTTTGATATTTGTCCGTGTTTAGTAGGGTTTAGGGTGTATGATGATAAAGAAGTGGTGTGTACAGATTTCCGATCCGGTATCTGTGGTGTTTTTGTAGGAGGAGTTCCGATTAGTAGGTGCGATTGTCGGCGTGGCGGTTTTGTGGAGAGCATCTTCGAAGTCGGGCTCTGTCGGGCCGTCCGTTGTCGTTCGTTGTTGTTGTTGTTAGTCCGCAAGCCATTCAAAGATTTGTTAGGTTTAACAGGTGAGCAATCAATTTTGTTTATTTTTTAAACTTAAAGTGTTGCGTACAAAAGGAAGCCCTTTTCGAGGTTTACGTTTTTTGTAACTGTGAGTGGTGGAAAATTTGTTTACATGATGATATATAGTTTGAATGTTGATTTTGCATTTGATTTTATATGTATGTGCAATTTTGATGATCCATCTGTTGCTGGTGTGTACAGGTAATAGAGATTATTTGGTGCGGAAGTGTTTGAGGTGCATAGATTGATTTATTGTTAGTAAAGGTGAAAGTAGAATGGAGTATGAGAATTCAAGTATAGAGGTAAGTGACATTTTTGTTACAATATAAATAAAATTAATAATGCGTTGTGTAATGTGTGGCATAACTGTGATGTTGAAGGTTGGTATTTTTTTTAAGTTTGTGATGCTCTTAAAAGGTTTAATTGATTATTAAAACTTTTTAGGTGGCAGTAGATAATTGTGAAAGCATAAATGAAAGAGTAGATAATTTTGAAGGTATAAATGAAGGAGTAGATAATTATGAAGGCATAAATGAAGGAGTATGTAATTTTGAAGGCATAAATGAAGGAGAAGATAATATAAATGAGAACGAGGAAGATGAGAATTTGGTTATTGATTTTGAAGAAATTTGTGAAGAAGAAGTGGAAAATGTTGTTAATGAAGGAAGAGTTGAGGTTTTTGACAGTGAAAAGGGGGTCATAGTTTCTACTTTGGATGATATTTTTAATTTAGATTTGCATTTAAGTCCACATGAGCTTAGGAATGTTCAATTTGTAAGTGTTGAGATGACTTACTTGTTTTATTACTGGTATGCAAAAGTTAATGGATTTGCCACAAAAAAAAGCAAGATTTTGAGAAATATTAAGGGGGAAAAATTACAACAAACATTTGTTTGTTTCAAGGAAGGATTTAGAGATAAGCGTGGTTTGAACATAGAGAATCGAAAGCGAAAGAGAACACCGGAGACAAGTTACGGATGCGAAGCAAAACTAAGAGTGCATATTGATAGCAGATATGGACTATGGTACATTACATATTTTCTGGATGACCACAACCATAGTTTTTTGGAAGATAAGTATTGTAGATTGTTAGCTTCTCATAGAGATATGAGTGAGTTAGATATAATGCAGTTGAATAAAATGAGAAAAGTTGGCATAAGTACTCCTCAAATTTATGGGTCACTTGCAGATCACCCTAGAGGGTATGAGAGACTTTCTTTTTGTAAAAAGGACATATTCAATCAAATTGGAAGGCTGTTGAGATTTCAGTTGAAACATTTTTGTTATAATTGTAAATCAGTTTAATTCTATCAACGGTCTCAAACACAGCAAGTATACCGGCCGTTCAAGTAGTAAAAATATTGTATCCACAGGGATTAGAAGGTAAAATAAGCATTTATTGACTATTCATGACTAAAGAATGATTCAAATTTCATAGTTTGTCATGCGAATTCAAGGTTATGACTATTGGAATGTTAAACTACAAAAATAATTGATTGTGAGTAGAAAAGGTTAGGGATGGTATAGTGGTTTTATGAGGTTGTGGGGGTTAGATTTCACCAAACGTTAAACTAATGAATCCTTAATCTCTTGTTACATACATTGCTTAGTCAACCCATAAGTTTACTCAAACCTAATCCCTTAGCGAAAGAGCCTAGGTGCGGATATTGAATATCAATCCCTTGAGTACCCAATACCTACACCCGCATTACAGATTAGGGTTTAAGACTACTAATGGGTCAAGCTCTATCCCTAGATACAATCTCCACTAGGCATATGTTCCAGAACTAGTTTCAATGGTATTTCCCAATACTCAATGGAACCTTAAATCATGCAAAGGGTGATCAATCTAAAGCAAGCATTAAGCATAGAAACGTACACAACAAAGAATGAAACAACATGTATATATATCATTAAAAACGTAAGGATTACAATAGAGTACGTTGGTTACATCTAACCCCACAAAAATGGGTGGAACCACTCAACAATGAGGGTAAATACAAAATAGAGATGGAGGGAGAAGTGAAGAACCGAAGGAAAGATTCACACACGAACGATCCCAAGCCCTGGGAATCCCTTCCGCAGCTCCTGGAGGCGCCCCTGCGTGAATGGGGAGAAAAGTCCCCGAAAATGCCTTCAAATACGAGCTTGGGGAGTCAGATTAGGGTTTACGCGCCCGGCGTATAAATCGTTGCGCCCGGCGCAGGGCCTTCCAGTGAGGTCAAGTATTCTCTGCCTCAAAACACGCCCGACGCAATTCCTTTTGCGCCTGACGCGCATATTGCTTGCAAAAGACGAGGCACTCTGTTCTTCTCAAGCCCGGCGCGGGTAATGTTGCGCCCGGCACAACCACTCTACTCTGCTCCCTACTCCTTAGATTTCCAATCCTAAGGGTCTTCAATCCTCAAGTCTCTAGCTCAATACCTGCACAAAAATGAGGTGTATTAAGGTATTATTAGCGAAATTATGGGTTAGCTATATATGCACAGAAAATGAACCAAAAAGAGAACAATTATATTGCAAGAAAATTAGGACACCTAAAACATGTATGCAAATCTCATGAGCAACAAGAAGAACCTAACATTGTTGAAGATCAACAAGAAGAGGAAGAAGAAGAACTACTTTCAATGTCATGCTTTATGACCAAAAAACCCTCAAAAGCTTGGATTATTGATAGTGGTTGTACAAATCATATGACCTATGATCAAGAACTCTTCAAAGAACTAAACAAAACTGATATCTCTAAAGTTCAAATGGAAAATGGAGCACACCTTACAGTAAAAGGCAAAGGAACACTTGCTATTAAAAGTCATTTAGGTTTTAAATTAATAGCTGATGTTTTATACGTTCCTGATATTAACCAAAATTTGTTGAGTGTTTCTCAATTATTAGGAAAAGGCTATAAAGTGTTATTTGAAGATAAAAATTGTGTGATTAAAGATATACACAACAAAGAAGTGTTCAATGTTCATATGAAAGGCAAACGTTTTGCTTTAAATTTGGAGAAGGAGGAGCCAATTATAAATGAAGATACAAGTGAAGAACACAAAGATGCATGTCTTCAAAAGAAGTTTGATGATCAAGAGGAGAATGAAGATGATGAAAAATCACCTTCAAAAGAGAAGTTCGAGACAAATGTTAAAGTGGTCCCACTCAAGAAGAATTACAACAAAAATCACAAAAAGAAGAAACCAATCAAAAAGAGAAAAGGCAGATTTTGAAACTCAAATTAGGTGATAAAGATATTCAGTCAAGGAGTAGTGTTGGGAATATGCCTAAATATCTTTAGAAGATTAAGTTAGTTTTTTATAAGAATATTTTATTTATATTTCAAATATTTAGATTTAATCTGTTCTGATTATTTTAAGATTTATTTCCTTATTTTAGAATAGGATAATATCAATATTTGATTTTGTATAACAAATTTTCTCTATAAATAGAGACTCATGAATAAAATTATATTATGCTCCTCTGAAAAAAAATAAGTCTTATTATAAAATATCCTCTCAAACAAATATCATAAAATAACCCCATCATTGGTATCTAGAGCTAAGGTTACGATCTTGGAGATGGAAGCAGAAACAAACTTTTCACAAATTTCCCCACCTATTTTTGATGGAGAAAGTTACGATCTTTGGGCGGTGAGAATGGAGGCATACCTAGAAGGTTTAGATCTCTGGGAAGCTGTAGAAGAAGATTATGATGTTTCCGCGTTGCCAGAAAATCCTACCGTAGCCCAAATGAAAATTCACAAGGAAAGGAAAATCAAGAAGGCAAAGGCAAAAAGTTGTCTCTTTGCCTGTGTTTCACAAAATGTTTTCACAAGGATCATGACTCTCAAATCGGCAAAAACAATTTGGGATTATCTAAAGGAAGAATATGCTGGAGATGAAAGGATTCGAAGCATGCAAATATTAAATTTAATGAGAGAATTTGAAATACAAAGAATGAAGGAGACAGAGACAATCAAACAATACTCTGACAAACTGCTTGGCATTGCTAATAAGGTACGATTACTAGGAACGCAATTTCTTGATTCTAGAATTGTTGAAAAAATTCTAGTAACTATACCTGAAAGATATGAAGCTTCAATAGCAGCTTTGGAAAACACAAAGGATCTGAGTAAGATCACTTTGGCAGAAGTGTTACATGCATTGCAAGCATTAGAACAAAGGAGGCTTATGAGAGAAGAAGGATCCGTGGAGGGTGTATATTTAGCCAAATGGAAGAACAAAAATAGTGGCAAAAACAAGAAGAAGGAATTGTTTCAAGAGAACAGTCAACATAATAACACTCAAATTTTTCCACCATGTCCTTATTGCAAAAAGACTAATCATCCACAACAAAGATGTTGGTGGAGACCTGATGTAAAATGTGACAATTGTGGAAAATTAGGACACCTAAAACATGTATGCAAATCTCATGAGCAACAAGAAGAAGCCAACATTGTTGAAGATCAACAAGAAGAGGAAGAAGAAGAACTACTTTCAATGTCATGCTTTATGACCAAAAAACCCTCAAAAGCTTGGATTATTGATAGTGGTTGTACAAATCATATGACCTATGATCAAGAACTCTTCAAAGAACTAAACAAAACTGATATCTCTAAAGTTCAAATGGAAAATGGAGCACACCTTACAGTAAAAGGCAAAGGAACACTTGCTATTAAAAGTCATTTAGGTTTTAAATTAATAGCTGATAGCAGCATTTGCAGCTGCTCCACCATCCTCAGCAGCTCCACCCCCCCAAAGAAAGGAGCCTGGTCCCCAGGCCAACCAGTATAAGCATGATAAGCATCAGTGGTGGGGAACTGGTAGGCAGGGGCGGAGTGCAGGGAGAAACTCCTGAAGGTATCCAAGATGAACATCTGCCCGTGGTGGAGGAACTCCATCTGACCCTCGTGCCTCTGTATAAAGGTCTCAAGGCGGCCCTCCAGTGTGTCAAAACGCTGATGGAGAGTGAGTGGAGGGCCTGGAGCAGCAGCATCGTCCATAGGCACGTCCTCCTGAGGCGCAGCGGCATGAATAGGCTCTGGTGCTGCCGGTGGTGCGCGGTCCTGGCAATAGGTAGAAATGTATCTACTGTCAATGGCCCTGCCAGGACCCTCAAAAGGTGGGGAGTGGACATCCACGCCTGTGAGCTGGCATAGCTGAGTGATGAGTGACGGATGTCCAAGGGCGGAAGAAGGAGCCTAGTTGGCACAGCCAGAGATCTCCATACAAATGATGCCACCCAGGTCCACGGTCCTCTGTGTCATAATGCAGTACATGAGTATGGACCGGGTCCAGTGCAGGTCGGAGACATGTGAGCATGGGAGGATGTTGGCATGCACCAATGTAGACCAAATCCTGACCACTGGAAGGAGATCCCGGCGCTTGACGTGGAGAGGCTGCTGAGATTGGTTCCTGTGGAACCCCAGTCCAGGCATGCAGATGGCAGCCTCTATGTTCGCAGGGTCAATCGTGTCAATGGAGTAGTTTCCATACTCATTCACCTCGTCAGCCCTCAGCGCAGTCCCCAAAAACTGATTAATCATCCGAGCATCATAGGGGACTCGCGCCCCCCGAACATAGGTGGTAAATGGCTCAATGCCCTCCTGTCTCAGAGCATTGGCGTAGAACTCCTTGACCACATCTATGTTGGCCGGGAGTGGATAGGAACCAAGCTTGTCCCATCTGCGCGTGCGTAACTCCGCCTGAAACTCTAGGGCCTCATTGTCTTCTAATTCAACCCTCCGCTCCAAAATGAACTTCCTGGTACTGATAGACTCAAAATGAGTCTCATTCCGCTCGGTGAGGAAGAGGTTGGAATAGGGCTGACTGGGCTTGCGGGGAGGTTGACCCGATTTGCCAGCACGGGGGCGCTTGCTTGAGGAGGCCATCTGCAAAAATAACAAAAGAAAATCCAGGCAGACAAAACATGAGCACAACAAGGTAAACAGGGATGACCAGTGTATGTAAAGCATAATGAGGGCTAGCCTTAGACTGAACTAAAACCTAAAAAGAAACTAAAAACAACAAAAACAAGGGTTCAGAGGTGTTTGCGCCGGGCTTGAAACTTGTACGCCGGGCGCAGAGAGCATATAGCTCTCTCTGGAAGCAAATGCGCCGGGCGCAAAACATAATTGCGCCGGGCGTAGAGAGTAGAGAGGACTCTCTGGAACCAACTGCGTCGGGCGTAAAAATGAATTGCGTCGGGCGCAAGTAAACGTTTGTTTGAAAAATGGCCCAGAACATGTTGTTCCAAGATCAGAACGGGTCTTTCTTAAGTTTGAAACGGGCCGTTCTGGAATTGGAACAGTCCGTTCCAAGCTCCGAAATGGGCTGTTCTGGAATTGAAACGGGCCGTTCCGAAGCTTAAACAGTAGCTTTCACGCCTGGCGTGATTGCACCCCAATGTGGGTTAGCTGGAACCCCATGGAAACCCAAAAACAAGAAAAACAAGAACAAGTTATAATGGAAAAGAGAAATAGTGAGTGTGAACACCTACTTGAGTTCGGAGTGCTAGGAGGAAAAGAAAAACCCGAGACGTGCCCTTGAAGGAAGAGGGTGAATGGAGATGGTCTTAAGGTCGAGGAAGCGTGAGATAGAGAGATGAATGATTGAGAGAAAAGAGATGGGGAGATGAGGTTGAAGAGAGGGCGATATAGGGCAAGCGTGAGAGGAAGAGGGTCCGTGAGAGGTTGAGAGCGTGTGGGGAGAGGAGTTGAGAGAGGTTGGGGTGAGAACGTGAGAAGTGGGAAAGTGGGCGCGAGGGGTTATGGGGCATCTGAAGGGGCGCGCCGGGCTTGCAATTCCCCACGCCGGGCGCCATATTAGTAGAAGCCCAAGAGTTGCCCTTATCTAATCTGGTATGGCGTCGGGTGCTGCCGTTTCGCGCCTGGCGTGGCTAGGGTTACAATCGTGCCAGTATTCAATGCGCCGGGCTTGGCAGATACGTGTCTGGCGTATTTAAAGCTCAGACCTTCCAGTAGTTAATGCGCCCGACGCCCCAATAAATGCGTCGGGCTTGGTCATTCCAGGGGCTTTAATGAAGGCTGGGCCGGGCGCAATAGGAATTGCGCCCGGCGTGGGTCTTGGCAGAGGCCAATTTACTCTAGGTGCGCTGGGCGTGGCTAAGTCTTGCCCGGCGTGATTAACTCTGTGAAGCTTTCACCTAGATTTTCCACTCCTCACACTCTTAACATATTCTAATCTATATTAACCCACTCAAGCAAGATTCACACAATTAATACCTAACACAAAACACATAATACGATACAACATACATATCACATAACATAAACAATCACAGAAAAAGTCCCAATACCCAGTATAAACTACAATTATAACATACTCATAAACAATCAAAGTTAAAAACAACAATTAACTGAAAAACACATAAAACACAGTTCAGATCTCTGGGTTGCCTCCTAGGAAGCGCTTGTTTAATGTCCCGAGCCTGACGGTGACCAACTTGAATGGCTCTAATTCTCCTTTTCCTCCTGTTGCTATTGTTCCTCCTTTCCCTGTGCTCAATCTCAGGATTGCTCAACAACTGCTCAGAGAGATTCGTCAATCTAATTCAGAGTACCTTGCATACAAGAGAAAACGGAGGACTAGAGTACATAGGTTAGCTCCAACAATTCATTGCTAACATAAAAATAAAAATAACAACAAAAGAATAAGTCACAAATAGCTATAAATACTAAATTGCCTTACTAATCCCCGGCAACGGCGCCAAAAACTTGTTGAGATTTCCGTTGAAACACTTTTGTTATAATTGTAAATCAGTTTAATTCTATCAACGGTCTCAAACACGGCAAGTATACCGGCCGTTCAAGTAGTAAAAATATCGTATCCACAGGGATTAGAAGGTAAAATAAGCATTTATTGACTATTCGTGACTAAAGAATGATTCCAATTTCATAGTTTGTCATGCGAATTCAAGGTGATGACTATTGGAATGTTAAACTACAAAAATAATTGATTATGAGTGGAAAATGTTAGGGATGGTATAGTGGTTTTATGAGGTTGTGGGGGTTAGATTTCATCAAACGTTAAATTAATGAATCTTTAATCTCTTGTTACATACATTGCTTAGTCAACCCATAAGTTTACTCAAACCTAATCCCTTAGAGAAAGAGCCTAGGTGCGGATATTGAATATCAATCCCTTGAGTACCCAATACCTACACCCGCATTACAGATTAGGGTTTAAGACTACTAATGGGTCAAGCTCTATCCCTAGATACAATCTCCACTAGGCATATGTTCCAGAACTAGTTTCAATGGTATTTCCCAATACTCAATGGAACCTTAAATCATGCAAAGGGTGATCAATCCAAAGCAAGCATTAAGCATAGAAACGTACACAACAAAGAATGAAACAACATGTATATATATCATTAAAAACGTAAGGATTACAATAGAGTACGTTGGTTACATCTAACCCCACAAAAATGGGTAGAACCACTCAACAATGAGGGTAAATACAAAATAGAGATGGAGGGAGAAGTGAAGAACCGAAGGAAAGATTCACACACGAACGATCCCAAGCCCTAGGAATCCCTTCCGCAGCTCCTGGAGGCGCCCCTGCGTGAATGGGGAGAAAAGTCCCCGAAAATGCCTTCAAATACGAGCTTGGGGAGTTAGATTAGGGTTTATGCGCCCGGCGCGTAAGTCTTCACGCCCGGCGTGGGGCTTTCCAGTGAGGTCAAGTATTCTCTGCCTCAGAACACGCCCGGCGCAATCTTTTTTGCATCCGGCGCGCGTATATTGCTTGCAAAGATGAGGCACTCTGTTCTTTTCAAGCCCAGCGCGGGTAATGTTACGCCCGGCGCAGCCACTCTGCTCTGCTCCCTACTCCTTAGATTTCCAATCCTAAGGGTTTTCAATCCTCAAGTCTCTAGCCCAATACCTGCACAAAAATGAGGTGTATTAAGGTATTGCTAGCTAAATTATGGGTTAGCTATATCTGCACACAAAATGAACCAAAAAGAGAACAATTATATTGCAATGGTTCAAAGGATGAGTGGAATTGTTCAATAAGTCTCATCCAAAAAGAAGTAAAATTGAGACTTTACAATGGCAAAGAAGGTTGCAAGGTTTGGATTGTAAATCTGCCTTGGAATTTTTGAATGGTTTAAAATGCAATGATCCTTTAATGTATGTTGGTCACACTGTTGATGACGAAAACAGATTGCAACATTTGTTCTGGTGTGATGACATGATGCAGATGGAGTATGAAGTATTTGGTGATGTGTTAGCATTTGATGCAACATATGGGAAAAATAAGTATTTATGTCCTGTAGTTGTATTTTCTGGTGTTAATCATCACAATCATACGATAGTATTTGCGAGTGCTATTGTTTCAAATGAAAGTGAAGAAACACATATTTGGGTACTTGAGCAATTTGTAGAAGCCATGAAAGGAAAGTCACCAATGTCTATTATCACTAATGGTGATGTTGCAATGAAAAATGAGATAAGAAAGGTATTTTCTAATTCACACCATAGATTGTGTGCATGGCACTTATTAAGGAATGCGACAACTAACATTAAGAAGTCGGCATTTACAAAGGATTTCAGAAAATGCATGTTGGGTGAGTATGAAATTGGTGAATTTCGAAAGAAGTGGTCTGAAATGTTGAACAAGTTTGAGTTGCATGATCATCCTTGGGTTCTAGATTTATTTGAAAAGGGGAAGATGTGGTGTACAGCTTATATTAGAGGGGTTTTCTTTGGTGGTTTTAGGGCAACTTCTCGGTGTGAAGGATTACATTCTAAGTTGAAAAAATATATTCA